GCTCTGCTTCTGACCAGCAGCTGTTTATTGTGATGGTATGAGAGGATATTTGCCCCCCCCCGAGAAAACACAATGAAATTCCTGTTGTAGAAGTAAATATGCAACAACTGTACAACAGTGCAAAAAATAAAATAAAATAAATTAAAAAGCTGCCCAGGGTGGAAAAAAAACAGGATACAACATTTCAAAGAAACAAAATGTTGTAAAGCTTTTGCACCACTGAAGCATATCTAAAAGAAACACTTGCTGTTCATTTAAAAAATCCTCACATCAGCAGTGCACGTTTGTTGACTGTGTTCTCTCTGCCATTTTCTTTTTATTTCTTATACTTGGATCCAGTTTTTTCCCTGTAGTCATGTAATTTTAGACATCCACTACCAAAAAAGTCCTAACCTTACCAGAACAAACTAACAGCATAGCTAAAAACTATTGAAGAGCAAATCCAGCGCTAACGAACCAGAGACTAGTGTCTACAGAGATAAAATCTTTAGATAACTAAAATATGGCACCAAACTGAACTCCTTCCATCCCTTGGCTGCACAGAGAAATATTGTCTAAAGTCATGAGCAGAATCATGACATGGAGACCTGGCAGAATCCAACTCCCACTGAGAGGGTCTGACTTACTGCCAGCAATGTGGACCAAACACTTGCATAAGGACCAGGAGGTGGGACCAAGTCATTGTTTTGCAAGTCAATTGAGTCTTTATTTTTGAGTCCCAAGTCAAGTCTCAAGTAAATACAGGCAAATGTCAAATCCCAAGTCTGAAACTTAGAATTTTAAGTCCTTTTGAGTCTTTTTTCAACAACGTTAAAGTTAACAAACCGTGTGCTTGTTTTTAAATTTGTATTTCTCTCAAATCGTGATGAAACGCGTGTAGCTGAATTTAGAAAGTATTTAAAAATAACATTTTTTAAAACAAATTTATTCATTTTCATTTAAAACTGATGGTGGTCAGAGGGTCCGGTGGCGCCGATGCATGGCAGCCCCACCTCTGTCAGTGTGCCCCAGGGCAGCTGTGGCTACCATCATCAGTGTGTGAATGTGAGTGTGAATGGGTGAATTGTCTGTTAGTGTAAAGCGCTTTGGGGGTCCGGAGGGACTTAAAAAGCGCACTATAAGTTCAGTACCATTTACCATAAAAACAAAACAAATGCCATATGTACAACAAACATAATAAAACACAAATAAAATGAAAGGTAGCAGAAAGAAGAAAAATCCTTATTGATATCTGCCCCTTTTTCAAAATGAAATAAATTGAAACAATAATAGTCTTCAAACAACAAAACATAACAAAAACTTTAAGTCCTTCTTGAACAACAGTTCTTATGAATGCACATTATACAAATTCATATTTCTTCAACAATCTAACTTTCATCATTCTCTTAAATAAATTTGTTGAGTCAGCATTTTTATAATCACTTTCCTGATTGTTCCACAATCCTTGGACAAGTACATCTGTCCTTCAAATTTGTTCAGATTTTGGGCTTTACAAACATCTCTATACCCTTAAGGTTATGATTACTTACTCTTAACAAAATTCAATTGAATGTTTAGAGGTAATAAATTTTTATGATATTTATACATAACCTGCAAAATATTATAATCAACCAACTCATAAAATTTCAATAATTTCAACTGACAAAATCATATATTTGATGGGTGACTGTAATGTTTTCTGGTGATAATTCTTACGGCTCTTTTCTGTAAAATAAAAATGGGATTTGTAATTGCTTTACATGCTTTCCCCCAGACCCCAACACAGTAAATCAGATGTGGAACAATTATTGCATTATACAACATAAGTAAGTCTCTTACTTTATACAATGCAGCAATGGATTCGGCTATTTTTGTTCCTAAGTGATTTATATGAGGTCTCCATGTCAGCTTTTCATCAATAATAACACCCAAAAACTTCACCTCATTGACTCTACAGAT